ATAAGAGGCTGACAATTAGCTGAATATATAGCCTACTTGTTTAATTAGTGACACTTGCATTTTGCCTGCATTTTAAAATCTTTATTTGAATGTGGCAATTAACATTTTTATTTTAAAACCATTATTTGAATATGGCAACATAATATTGCGCTCTACAATATTTCTATCAGCCAATCACTGTGTGCATAGTAAGTATGCTGACATCATCCATAGCAACAAGGTCAACCCCGCCCTTACTCTTAGACTTCTCTCTATTCTTTAGTAAAAGTTTGTCTCAGCAGCTTTCTGAATAGGTTTTAAGAGAAAACTCTTAGCTAAAAACTTTTACTGCTATTTAGGAGAACTCTTAGTGGTAAGATAAAATGTTTTGTGAATACGGGCCCAGGTTTATACTGCACACACCACAATATTATCCTGCTATGTGTTTTGCTATGTGTCTATTAATATTGTCCAATCTGCTCATCACAGGGTTTCTCCAAGCAAGACTCATTCATTCATTTGTTAACGTTTATGGGTTTATGTATAACAGCTTTGTGTTGTGATGGAGCTGGTGTTGTGGAGGTCACACTCACAGACAGTGGACCACCGTGCGTCCGTCTCCTCCGTCATACTGCTCCTGCCACTTGGCCAGTCGTCTGACCAGCTGCAGAATGGAGCGTTTGGACAGCGGCGTGTCTCTGTACGCTGGCCAACCAATATACTGGAAATGTTGGACCAGACGGTAGCCGTCTTGAGGCTGGAAGCAGAACAGGAGATGTTTTGAGAACATTTATCCAGAAAACATTCATGTTAACTCATGTTTCACAAAGTGACAAAATAAGTCTGCAAGCCAAATTAAAGATCTCAATATGAACTAAAACATTTCTCAAATTCGTCCTAGAACTAATTATCTGAGCTGCTATTCACATTAATTTTATTAAAATTGTTAATAAAAATTAGTGTTGTCAAACGATTAATCGCGATTAATCGCATCCAAAATAAAAGTTTTTGTTTACATAATATATGTTTGTGTACTGTGTATATTTATTATGTATATATAAATACACACACATACAGTATGTATTTTGAAAATATTTACATGTATATACATTTATATTCTTATATTTTATATTATATATAAATATATTTAATATATAAACAACATATTTTTCATAAATATATATATGCATGTGTTTGTATTTATATATACATAGTAAATATGTACAGTATACACATATATATTGTGAAAAGAAAAACTTATTTTGGATGCGATTAATCATTTGACAGCACTAATAAAAATTATTATTGGAGTATGTTTCGCAAGAAAATACTATTATACTGTCTTTCTACATTAATAATATTATTAATTATATGTGTTGCAGCTTTTGTAATTAATGGTGACATTTACAATTTCCGAGTAAAAATGGTTTCTACACCAATTTTTTAGTGTACTGGATAACAACTATTGACTGAAACTGAAAGTTGGTTTGGAAAATGATTGTAACTATTTTGTCTACATATATATATATATATATATACACATTCACAGTACCTCCGATTCTTGCAGTGACAATGAAAAGCAAAAAAATAAATCAGACAGAAGCGAAAGCAAACAGAGATGTCAGCTGAAGACTAAGACCGGATCAGCTAAATGAGAGTCATATTACACACAATTTGCCATCGATGGAGCCATTTCATGGTAAATCTGTGATGCTGTGGCACTTATTTATTTTGTGCCGCTATGCTGCGCCTGCACTGATTAGCTACTGGTAAACCTCGCATGTCACCGGCGGTTAAAGAGAAAGAGGGGGAAGAAAAGAGAAGGGAAGCAAGAGGAGGTGGGATGAGTCTTCTGAAACGTTTGACGTTTGAAACACGTCAAGCTTCAGTAATGACTGCTAATGTGCACGAACAGAAAGCTCAAGATAACTCACATGGAAAAGAAGAAAAACTGCACAAAACCCATCCATGGCTTATATCAGCTGTGGCAGGATGGTGGTCAAATATTTATGTGATTATTGTGCTCATGCATATGTGTCTGGCATCACATTCAAAGATGCATGCGATGTGCTGAGTGTTGAAATCATGTGGATTGAGAAGGACTATAGAGTTGTGGTCTCTTTTAAGCTTAACATAATTTCTCACTTCACTAACTCAGGGTCATAATCTCAGCTGCTGTTGATTTACTGTCACATTAGGAGTCAAATCAAAGTGACTTAAGTGAATTTTTGCTTCCAAAAAGCAGTTTTATTTTAGCGAGTCACAGTAAGGATGGATTGACACCGAGCACAAAGTACACGAGGAGTTTCAGGGGGTTCAACAAGCTAATCTGTCGAGGTTCATCATCAGGGCACCTGTTTGAAAACCATCAATATTTTATTCACTTCAATAAGGTGAAGCTAATGGCAAAGAAACACTACAGATTAACGTTTGTTAACTGCTTTTGACAGCACTCATTTGACAAGAATAATTTGAGCAGCTGTTGTTATGGATTCTCCTCATGTGAACGTGACCTGTTCACAATCATCTATTTAGCAGCAAGTAAAAATACACACTAACTTTTAAACTTATCTTTGAAATGTTGCTTGTAAAAACAATTTATGGACTGGGTTCATATGTATCACAGTTTCTGCAAAAATATTAAGCAGAACAACTGTTTTCGATGTTGATAAAAAAAAAATGCTTCTTGAGCATCAAATCATGATTTCTGAAGGATCATTTGATTGAAGACTGGAGTAATACCTGCTGAAAATTCAGTTTTGTCATTACAGAAATAAATTACATATTAAAACATATTCAAATAGAAAATAGTTATTTTAAATTGTAATAATACTTCACAATATTGTGGTTTACTGTATTTTTGATCGAATAAATGCAGCCTCCGTGAGCATAAGGAACTTGATTCAAAAACATAAAAAAAACAACAACTTTGAACAATACAATAAAAACCTTTGAACAGTAGTGTATATATAAAATGTGCACCCTGGTCTGGGGACAAAAAAGCACAGACCTGGTTGGAGTCTGTGGATCAACAAAGGATCAAATGACATAGTGTGAGAGGAAAATCAATGAACACATTTCTGCCTCAGTCACTCGTAAAGAGCCACTAAACACTATTCCCTTTCCCTGTCCACTGACCCCACTTACCCGTGCCATGTTACAGATCCTAAAAATGCGATTGATAATGTCCTCGTCAATGTCAGCGGAGATGAATTCAGCCTGAATGGGGCCGTAGCAGCAGGAGCCTTTTTCTGGCCAGTACTGCATGCAGAGCTGCAGCGAGGGAGAGAATGACAGCAAATCAGTACAGAAGTTCACATCCAGACAACGTGACTCAATGTACTTTGAAATCTAAAGAGTGCAAGAGAAAATGGAAATAACTCAATAATTCTAAAGTCCACTAATCTGAACTCAAATTGCAGTGTGCCAAAGAAATCTGTTCCAATGATCTCTTACTTACTCAAACTTAAATGAGCCACATTATGACGAATCAAATTTCCCTCGATCTTCTCAGATAAAAGAATATAAAAATATACTGTAACTTTCAGAACTCCAATCTTCCACCCAAGTGAAAAAAGACCATTTATTGAAACTAAACAACTGAAACATCTAATTTATAACTTTTCTGACATTTCTGGAAAAAAGGTTATGTTATAAAAAAAGCTGCATCATTTAAAAAAAAATTATATTAGTTATATTTCATATATACACTACCATTTAAAAGTTTGGGGTTTGTACTATTTTATGCTCAACAAGGCTAAATTTATTTAATCAAAAATTTAGTAAAAACAGCAATATTGTGAAATGTTATTACAATTAATGTGGCTGTTTTACTGTATATTTGAATATATTTTAAAAGGCAATTTATTATTATTGGCAAAGCTGAATTTTCAGCATCATTACTCCAGCCTTCAGTGTCACATGATCCTTCAGAAATCATTCAAATATGCTGATTTGCTGCTCAAAAAACATTTCTTCTTATTACCAATGTTGAAAATGGTTGTGCTGCTTAATATTTTTGTAGAATCCTTTTTTTTAGAATTCTTTAATGAATAGAAGGTTCAAAAGAACAGCATTTATTTGATCAATAATGTAAAACCTTTGATCAATATATTGTGTGCTTGCTGAATAAATGCATTCATTTCTGTAAAAAATAAAAAAAAGAGCCCAAACTTTTGAATGGTAGCGTACACTTTATATACAGGTGCATCTCAATAAATTAGAATGTCATGGAAAAGTTCATTTATTTCAGTAATTAAATCCCATCTTCCAACATCCAATTGCAATAGATAACAAATGGAGGTGAGGGTCAAGCACTTCACATACCTGTGCAGCATCCATTTCATTCAGCATCACAATAGTGGAGCAGTTGTAGTCGAACACTAGCCTCCAGAAGTCGGCCACAGTGTTGGGCAGAGGGTGCTGCGTTACGATGAACGCCGCCGGCTGTTTGTGGCTCTAAGACAATCAATAAGAGAACAAGTTAACTCTTCCTTCCAGCACTGAAGATGTGCCTGAACCCAACACATCCCAACGTGCCTCACATGTGTAATGACCGAAACTAAACGGAGACCTGCAGAGGGACAGGAACACAGAGACGGAGTGATAACCTTGCCAAGGGATCCATTGACAAGGACTGCAGAGGCTTCGTTTGAGACAAACACACACGCTCTGCTAGCACGGGTCGGCCGTTCATTTCATTTGGCTGCTTATCTTCTTTTTTTCATCTTGTTGTTCTTTATCTGAGGTGTGTGTCTTCTGTCTTGATTGTCCTTTTTGGATGCTGCGTGAAGATGCTGGTTTACGGTACGAGTGTGATTATGATCTATGTGTGGAGATTACGGAGATGTGATCTAATCATGTACTCTGATCAAATTCATGAAGCTATGCAAACAAAAATTAGCACAAAAAACTCTACATCTATGCTTTTAATATCAATCTCAGTCATCTGTCTCAAGATGTATGTTGCACTGATCTGATTGAAGTCTGATTCATGCGAGTGAATCAGTTAATTCTAAATGCTCCTCTGATATGTAACATTGGAAAATCCGATTTATTTAAATTCATTTATTAATTTATCATTCATTTATTCCAGTTAATTCCAGTCATTCATTTATTCCAGTTTGTTTAAACATCCTTGTAAATGAACACACTGAAAATGATTAGATTGAAAGTCCCTGCATGGCATTTTAAGTCTTTTATTGCAAAATGTTTAGTTTTTTAGTTGTATATAGTGTACATTTTGATGTCACAGTTTGAAATTATCATTCTATTTGAGTTTATTCACTCAAAACCCTTTGTGTCTTTTAAGTAACTTTAATATAGCTAGCTACTTGTTAGCAGCTTATAGCTGACTTCCTTTTCAAAAGAGTAGATTGATTCTAATTTAATTACTTTAAATTACAAGTAGCCTGTAGCTTCAAGCTACATTTTAAAAGCAGTTTCTCCATAGAGTACAGACAGCAAAGACCTGCAAACAAAAGTACAGCAAAATGGCAAGCGCCAGCAATTTATTTGTGTTCATTGTGAACGCTCCTCTTATAGTTTAAAAAAAATGGCCCGTTTAATCCTAAGTGTTGGAAAGAGGATGCAAAATGAATGAATATCTAAATTCTGACTAAAATGACTAAATTATGAAATTACAAATTATGTTTGGGTGTATTATCAGTGGAAAAATATGTAATATGACCCCTTTAAAGTTCAATGCAAGATTGACAACAATGTAACTATACTAGATTTTTACATTAAACAAAGTAGGCCAGGTGACCTCTAACAAAAGCGATCAAACTTACATCCATCAGTGCTGCATTGATGTAATTGCTAGACTCGCCATCAACAGAAATGAGGAAAGGCAGGCAGCGGTCCACCGCGAGGACGTCCATGCTGCGGTTCTTATCGTGGTTACGCGGGAGCAGACCTACGCTGCAGTCCTCCGGACGGACACGCGGTGTCACTATATTCAGAGTCTGAAGAAGAAGACATGAAGGACTGTAACATACACCTTTAAAACATAGAAGAACATTAGGCTGCTCTTGGTCTTACTTGGGGAAAAATGGTGCCTTTATAAAAACCAATTCCGCTCGCACTGCTGGTCCAACCACAAGCAATGCAAATATTTTAGCAAACTGGTCAGTCATTACTTATGTATAAGACATACTGAAGAACAGAGACGTTGAGGGAGAGAGACAGACAGTGAAAAATAGCTTACAACAGAGAAAGATGCAGCGCTAGATAGAAAACGAAAGATCTGGGAGGAAAGAACGATAGAAACATATTCATCATATTTTATGAGACACCTCACAGATCTGAAGCTTTGCTTCCCCCTCAGACGGTAGTGGCTCGCTCATTTCACAGGGAATACAAAACAGAAAGGCACCATGAAAAGAAATAGCTCAGCTCTGGGCTTTATGAGGCTCTAGCAGTTCGCCGATGGCTTGTAAAGAAATGCTTTCTCCCTTGACGTTTGAGTCACGGTGTCTTTACTCACCTGTCTCATCTAAATGCGTTAAGGACGCCGCAGCACTTTGCCGATTGACTTATTCAAAAGCGCTTCGAATTTCTGAGTAATCAAGATGAAATCACACCAGAGAGATTGATAAAGTTGTTAGAAATATAGCTGTGAGGCCTTCAGCCATAATAGAGGACTACCAATCGAAAGCAAAGACTTTGGAGGATTCAGTAAATTAGGCTTCCACGTGGGCTACTCGTGTAGCTGCAGGAACACAAAGCATGAAGATTAAAAAAATGTATGTTCCTACTGTTTTTAAGATTCTCTTTAGTATCTCATTTGCTCCTAGACTGTAATGAGATTGAATGATGAGCAAATGGAGGTTGATCTACTGAGAAATCAGATTTCTATAGTGTCACAGATTGTGCTCAAAGTCTGAAATCAAATCTCACTATGAACTCAAACATTTTTCTTCAAGTTCTTCAAAGACTAAATGATCTGAGGTATGCTATCCACAATAATGTTTTAGGTCTTTACTTTTACTGCATGTCTGTAATTGTCTCATTTGTGTCTCCTGGGCTATGAAAGAGCAATTTCCCTCTGGACATATTAATTCACTTATTGTTTTGCTGTGCAAAGCGTTAACTGTTGTACTGATGGTATGGTCACATTTTAGAAGCAATCTACATAAGAAAAAAACAATCCATTTGTGTAGACTGCTCACCTGAAACTCATCTTTGATCTGGCTGGAGTTGGTCTGAGGGTCCAGTCTGCTGATGTTGTAGTAGATGGCTCTGAATTCACACACTGGGATAGCCGTGTTCCCACACAAACATGCTTCCAGTATGGCATCATGCACAAACACATACTGCTCCTGCAGAGAGAGAGAGACAGAGATCAACATTCTCTATGTCCAATACTGTGGATGTCTTACCATGAAACACTTCTTTCAAAAACATAAAAAAAAACATCTGAACGGTCGTCTTTATACCTTTATGTGTGTGTGTGTGTTCTAAAAAACATAGTTTAATTTCTTTTAACCAGTTTAATATTTAAATGTAATGCAATATCAGATTTACAATTCAACCCTATTGAAGTCACTTTTAATTTTCTTGCTGATTAAAAATTATTCAGACAGCTGGTAGCTTGTAGGCCACTTGAGGAAACATCCCTTTGGCATTTTAGCGCCTTTTTTAATAATAAAAACAATAATCACAGCTCTAAAATAATTAAGGGCTTGACTTAAACTTTTACATCTTCAAACCAGCCAATCTACATAATTCATGAACATCCAAACACATACGTTTAAAAAGCCTGAGCTCAAGTTGAAAGTGATCGCCGCACAGCATCATAGCAAATCATCAGGGAAATATGGAGTTGATACTCCCCACAAATGTCAGTATGAGAGCGGTGCATGAACATTGATGCATGAAGCACAATTTGCTGATGGCGAAATGACTCCAGCCTAAGGGATGTTTTACATGGATTACAGCGTTGCAGCTTCTGATGCCGAAATCCTGCGGTGACAGCAACGTCCCCCAAAACCGTTCCAACTGCGGCCTTAAAAATAAGATCAAGGGGGCACTCAAAGCACCATCCCCATCCTGCAGCTAATATTAAACTCCTTCTTAAACCCCGGCCCTGAATATGAGACGGAATTATCCATATTTTAACTCAACAATGCCTCCGGCTTAAAGGTTTGAATGTTAATGTAGGCCTTTGATCCATGCTAAACTAAAGTCAAGCTGAGCTGACCTCTCGTACCTATCACTCCATAACCTGGTGAGCACTTCTGCGTAGGGCTGAGGACAAAAGACGAGGAAAAAGCCTTTTAAAAGATTAATTGCTGTGTGTTGTGTCTGCAGAGGATTAGCTTTGAATGGAGCTGCAGGCTGACACAAATTGCCTCCCAGAAACCATTATCACCACCACTGTGTTTAGTGTTAGTCTTTTAAAGCATGCTGTCCTCATCGCAAAAAACATGTAATATTAGAATGGATCGAATAAAATGGCATGTTGACTTGATATAGTGTGTTATTTAGTGAGCATAAATAATAATAATTCTAATAATTATTATTATTTAAACAACAATAATTTATTATTATAAATAATAAAATAATAATTCATAATTGTACTAAATAATTCAGCACAATGGGTTTTCACATCAAATGCTTGAATGGTTTTCAAAAAAAGAACGAATTTTCATCCACCACTAGGGGGCATGACTTTGAATTCCAACATCCAGTAAATTCTGGGTAGGGGATCTGCCTGTCAAAGCCAAGGCAATTTCTTGTTCTGGCTGTTCTAATGTTACAGTGTGGAGATTAATGTAGGGAAGAGAAAGGTTATCTAAGTTTTAAACTGAAAACAGATGGCTTCAATATCATATTCACAGACTGGAGAGCTTAGTAGAAGGCTATGTGAGTATGAGTGAGGTTCTGAGGGCGTGATTGAGAAGTAAGTAAACTAGTGAATGGGTTAGTAAATGACTGCGTGTGTGAGTGAATCATTTAATATATGGATGAATGAGCAAATGAGTGAGTATATAGGCTGTGCATAATCTGGCTGCCTGAATGAAGCTGAACAGGCAGTAAGGTGCATTCTGCTCACCTCCGTCTGGACCATGTTGACTCTCTGTGAGCGCAGCTCTCTGATGCAGTTGAAGATGTCCACCACACCCTCACTCTCTGCCATGTCCAACATAATGTCCACTGCAATGAAGCAGCCTGTTCTTCCAGCACCAGCACTGCGGAAATTACACCAAAACAGGTTTATGTGAGGCTTTTGAATGCACGATCTATCTATCTATCTATCTATCTATCTATCTTATGAATGTGTTGTGTAATATCTATATTGTTACGAATGGTGTTACGAAAACAAGGTTCTGGCAGACCAAGATACTTGTGTGTGTGAGAGAGCATGGACAGAAGATGTGCCATCAGTCACTCTAAAACGACACTCACACACACACACAAATACAGAGCAACTCCACGGTGTCACAGATTGGCCGACGGTGATTAATGGTGCGAGCGGTAAACAACTGACAAAAAGAAAGCAAGGGACGGAGAGGGAGAGACAGGGAGGATGTCCTTTACACCTCACATCCTCAGTCATTCATACACTATTATCATCATCCCCAAATTACCATAAGTTATAAGAATACTGTATCATAATTGATATTCATCGTAACTGATACTCAAATTTCTAAGGCTTCTAAATGATCTACATGATCAAAACTTTTCTAAAAGAAAAAAAAAAGAAACAGTTGTACACATTCTACTACATGCCTTCTGTCGCCTAAATTGATAGTTTATGCTTTTTAGCAAGTAAAATGCCTTTTAGTATAATAGTGAATATGTCTCTCTTCAGGTCGTGGTTCTTCCTTTGCCTTGAAATCTTGTGAAATAAATATACAGATTTTTATAAAGTAAACATAAGAATACGTTTGATATTGTTAGTAATATTTCAAGATGAACATGTACTGGACTGAAGCAACAATCATTAACGTACAGTATTGCATTGCATTATATGTTTTCCCCCCTATAATATAAACTACAGAGCTTTGATCATAAAACTACAGATATTTCTATGCATTTTATGTAAGTAGTCTGCTATACTGATATAACGATCTCACTGTTTTATATTGTTTTAGACTTTGTCTTGTTTCAAAACACTGTTTCATTAAAAAAAAAATGTTCTGACATTTAATATGTCAGGCTTTACAGGATTAACATATGCAACACTGTTTTTAATCAAATTGGCAAAAATTACACACAAAGAAACCTCAAAAATGACAACAGAGCTTCTTAAATGAACTATATTACTCGTACACTGTAAGTCCTTCATTTAATATGTCAGGCTTTACAGGATTAACATATGCAACACGGTTTTTAATCAAATTGGCAAAAATTACACACAAAGAAACCTCAAAAATGACAACAGAGCTTCTTAAATGAACTATATTACTCGTACACTGTAAGTCCTCAGATGTCATATGATAATTTTGCGTTGGAAACAGTCCAAAATGTAATGTTATTCACTGGTAATCTTCCCCTCCACTATAGATCTCAAATTATTATTATTATTTTTTTTTACTTTTGTACATTACAGTTAAATATGGTACGTCAGTTTGTGTTGTGTCAGGTTTGATGACAGTGACCAACATTATTGGTGCTCACATATCCTATTACTGACTTTAACCCCGCGAGCTGCAAGGACATTCTGCTAAAACTCATTTTGTGTTTCATGCAAGTAAGAAGGAACATTTGGAATGTTCTGAAAAACTATTGCTTGAATCAAAATCTTAATCTCTGCACCACGAGCACTTGACACTTGGGCTAATCCGCTCTGAAAGTTTCTTTGTCACATCTGCTTCGTCTCTGGGATTGCAGGGCCGACTGCAAATTTACACTGCCACTTCACAGTCTCCTGCTGTCACCTTTCATTCTCAAACCTTCTTCCCACACGGCCCCCAATTACTCCCCACAATTGTGAGAGCGAGTCTGTCTAGCCGTGCATCCATCTGTGAGCACGACGTGGGCATGTTGTGGACAGATTCATGGGTGAATGTCTATCCATGTGCTGAAGCGTCCTACGTTAGTGTGAGAATGTGAGTGTGAAGATCATCTTCTCTTCTACCTCCCTGGGTTCTTTTACTTGTTACATGAGAAGTTAGTTATGCTGCCCAGCAAGTGCTCATCTGGACTGCCAAACGTTTGAGATAACATAAATATGTTTAAATACATTTAACGCAATCAATGCATTCACCTAATTTCACAGCGGTTTCGATTCACTCTACTCTCTTACTAAAGACTCATGTGACATGCTCTCATTTATCAGTAAATGATGGTGAAAGACCTTCTGAAGGGCAATGTTTGTAGGGTGGAATTTAACATCAGCATATAAATATCATCTACAAGATCACATAGAGAGACCAGAACATTCTAAACACTTGTGGGTGGCAGTTTTTAGTATTATTTGTAAAACCATTATAATATTTATTAATAACTTTAAAAAATATATATATTTTCAGTTTTCATTTTAATTTTTCATAATTTTGTCATTTTTATAATTTTCTAATTAATATTTAATTTTTATTTAGTTTCAGTTTTAGTTGTAGTAACTGTAGCATTTCATCTTATTTATTTCAGTTAGTTGCCAAGACAACACTTCTAGTTTTTAAAGTTGTAATATGTAATATTTTCATTTTATTTTTATTTCAGCTCTTTCAATTAATGAAAATTTATTTTTAATAGTTTAATAGTTTTAGCAATAGCAATAACACTAGTGGATGGGCTCTTTTGACTTTAGCCAGTAAGCAACCTTCAAAAAACCCTAGTAACTACCTAGCATTTATTCTACAATTCTAAATAATCAACAGACCTCTCACCGTAGATTCATAATCACACCATGAGTCCAGCTTCAAACCAGAACCTTTGACTTATAATAAATGTATGTCAGAAGAGTGAGAAAGGGACATAAGGAAGTAAATGCAAGAGAGGTTTAGATAAGAGCGCACCTGCAGTGTACCGCGATGGGTCCTGCGTCTGGAGCATTGAGGAACTTGACCTGGCGGATGAAGCCCAGCAGGCCTGTGGCGTAGCAGGGAACACCATGATCAGGCCAGCTGGTGAAATGGAACTGCCGGATTTCTCGAATCTCATGGTGACCCTTCTGCAAACAGGAGCATGTGGTGATCTTAATATCAACAGGTGTCATCATCTGAGGGTAAGAGGCAGGTGATCATGGTAGAAGATGGCTAGGATTACAAGACCCAATAAATGCATGTCAATAACAATCAACACCATGTAGTTTTTTTTATTATTATTTTTTTTTTTGTGAGTGTATACAGTTTAAATACCATGATACCATGGCCACAACATTATGGACAGCAAAACAAAATAACTTTTAGAACTTTGTGATCTTCCCTAAAATTTGTGCAGAAAATATGATGAAATGTCAGTCAGGGCCTCATGGTCAGTGTCCGAACCACTGCACAACTACACATGTGGTTCGATCTGTGTGAGCGCTGTGGCTTTTCACACACCGTGTTGTGTTACAGTAGAAACATTTATTTACTTACTAACACTTAATGCTCTGATAAGCTTTTAATTATAATTTGGGATTAAGAGCGGCATAATCCATGCCTGGAGGTGCTGATACCACCATGCGAGGACCTGTGTAGGCGTTTAATGCAGCTTGTGTGTGTGTCTGGAGAGTGTGTGTGTAACTGAGCTGCTATAGATGACGAGAGGTAACGGAAAAAAAAAACAGAAGTCTCTCTGATGTTCAACAATTGAAATCCATAAATGCAATCCATACCTAGATACATAAGAACACTCAAAAATGGTCTTAAGGAAGAGTTAACTAATCCATCTAAAGCTGAATATTAATAACACCTTTCATAACATTTGACCACGACACTCTTGAAATCTAGAATACTACAGTATGTGGGATTTGTGTCACAGATCTCTCCAAGAGGAACATGTAAATAAATAAGTAAATAAATAAATACATTTTTTTCAATGAAAGAAAATCGGTGGGGGGGGTGGGGGTGTCCTTAATTGTGACACAATGCAAAAACAAACAAACACCCTTAATGGTCCTAAAATTAGGTTTCATTTCCTAATGCAATATATAATTTATGAAATATAATATATATATAATACACTAATATATAAATATACAATCTAAAAATACAATTTATATTAACTTTTAAAAATGTAGTTTTTTTTGTTTGTTTTTGAGATGAAATGTGGCCCAGACATGTTTTCATTACATTTAAACATCTGAGAATCAGGAGACTTAAGCAAAAGTCCCTGTTTGATATCCATTTGATCTCATTGCTGTCTAAGAGAAACCAGAAAACATCTCTAGTCATTTTCTGCTCCCACTCATTATGAAGCACAACTATGCGGCGAGAGGAGGATGTACCCTAACAACTCTCTTTCAAAGTTGAGGAAGCGTTTGAAAGGCAGCAGCCTCGTGAGACAGATGGATTGAGTGATTTAAGAAAGTTGCTGATGACATGCTGTTCCATACTGCATTCTCCCCCTCAAAAACGACTCCCAAACACTAATTTCTCCCACTATCAAAGCTTCCCTACATCTGTTCCGTTTGGATTACAACACTCAACAACAAAACTCTACCCGCTCCTAAGAGCTTTTTTTTTTTGCCATTTGCGTTCGTTGCAAAATATTGTCTGTTGGCTTATGTTAAGATCTCATAAAGTTTGTTTGTTAGAACATTGTGGTTATGTTTTTTTAATTTATGCATGATCTGACTTCAAGCTGTTCCTGAATGATAAGAACAATACAAGTGATTGAGTGAGAGATGCATTATGGGCTTAAACACAAGCTGATGGTTCATATGGTATGGATGAACATGAGACTGAACAAAGAGATGCATGCAGAGAGTGCTAAAAAGTTTTTTTTTTGTAATGTACTTGAGAAACAGTTAAAAAATAATTTTAAAATATAATTTTTTAAAATTACTTATATATGTATTATATATGTGTGTACACTTGCTAAGAACAGCTTTTCTTGGTGGAAGCTTTGCGTTTGGTTAGCTAATAAAATATTACAACTCAATTCAATATTATGTGTACAATTATTTAATTATGTCATCCTGGTATCGCTCTCTCGTTTCATACAAACGTAGCTGCTTCCATTTTGCGACGATTGTTTTGCACACTGTAATGGATTATAATATATAACTAACAAACTGGTAAGATTTTAAAACATTTTCATCTTAAATATCTTTTATCGCCTTAATTATTTATGTGGTGAAATGTCATGTAATAAGTGGTTTGACTGCACCGTATCCCTTAAATGTCCGTCTAGTTTGAACTTGCCGCTTGCTCACAACTGCTGTCTTCACGGAAGATTTGCGTTCAAATATTTAAACTCAAATCAATATTTTGTGTCTAATTATTTAATTATGTGGCAAGTAGCTGTGTAATACGCGGGATAATGTACATCCAGCCGGTTGTTATCACAGAATAACCCCCTTCAGGGTCATACAAGACCCCAACCAGCTGGATGTACATTTTCCCTTACATTACATGCAGGCATATTACATGGAATTTTAGAAAATTCCATTTTAGAAGCATTTGCATGTAAACTGATACAAGGAAACCGAGAACACCCGAGCAATGAAAAAGAACAAACTGAGACATCTCATATGAGTGCAGATGGGTTTTTACCTTCTGAACAGTAAAAGTCCTGATCACATATTCTGCAAGAGGCTCCGTTTCAGTCAGCGTCACTTTGATGTCTCCATACAGCTCGGTCTCATCAGGCCAATACCGGACACATTTCACCTTAATGGACACATAGGAACCCACACATACACATTATTACACAACACCTGCATCTTAATTTGTCTGGGTATTACTCTATTTTACAGCAAGGTCTAAGTCAAATTGGCATTTGCAGAAACTGTATTATTAAACAAGTCCCTGATGACATTTTGAAAACAGAGAGGTGTAATTGGCCACCTGTCAGACAGGATGTTATCTCTGAATGAACAACCCCTGTGGTCCGAGTTCACTGGAGCCAATCATTGAACACCTCTCAATTATATTCAACGTGACATCAAACTGCTCTCGTTGGGGATATTGTGAAGGACTTGTGCACATCATTGTGCTTGATTTTAGGATGTCCTCCAAAATGCTTGACTCACTCACTTAAAGTTTCCCTTGTATATAAAGCAACTTCCTGTTATACTATTTTTTGTTTTCATTTGCATTTATTTGATGGGTCAAGCTCACGAGTTCTTGACATATTTTGTGAGATTCACCAAAGTGGTTTAGACTCTTAAAAATAAAGGTTCAAAAAGTTTTTTTTTTTCACAGATATGCCATAGAATAACTTTTTTTCAGCAAAACATTCTTAAAAGAACCATTTTTTTCTTGGTGTGAAGAACATTTTAATAATCTAAAGAACCTTTTTTCCACTATAAAGAACCTTTTGTCCGATGGAATGGTTCTATGGATGATTAAGGTTCTTCATGGAACCATAGATGCCAATAAGGAACCTGTATGTTTTAAGAGTTTACAGTGCATCTAAGATTAGGGAATTAAACCAACAACTTTGACTGTGCTTGCTATTTTCTATTCTTTGAGATACGGAAACAAATTGCACATTTGCATGGATTTCTTGTTAGATGTTACTTCCAACACCCACCTCACAGATTTATATATACACTCCATTTAACCGGGAGACCATAGTTAAATGTGTAGCAATTGGAGGAGCCTGTGATATTTATTAAGGAAAGAGATAATTACAAGAACCCTACCCTGCCCACTTCCACCAGGTTGGTTACCATGACGATACTGGCAGAATTCTCTTGCCAAATCATCCTCCAGAAATCCCTCAGAGTTTCCTGCATGGGCCCTACAGGAGAGGAGGAGGTACAAATTTAGAAGATCACGCAACACTCACAAAACAACTAGAAATAAGATGCAATGTTTGCTTATGGATTCACAGACAGTCCCTGAGGGAGAGAGCATCACAGACCAGCATGAATGTCCACACTAGTATATCATGGGGTTGTTCTTTCTTTTGAAGATGGCTGACCAATGCAGGTTGACTAATCTAAAGTACTTAGTATTGTATTGTAATTTTACAGTATATTTTTATTAATTATTTGTTTTGTTTTGCACTAATAGTAATATTGCAATATTATTATTATTTTTTTAAAGTGGCCTATGAAAATGCAAGTGGAAAGAAAAATTGGCTTGTTCAAGATGTAGATGAGTTTCTTCATCAGAACAGATTTGGAAAGATTTAGCTCACCAATGGATCCTCTGCAGTGAATGGGTGCCGCCAGAATGAGAGTCCAAACAGCTGATAAAAACTTCACAATTATCCCCAAGTAATTGTGGGTTATACTGTTCTGATGAAGAAATAAACTCATCTACACCTTGGATGGCCTGAGGGTGAGTACATTTTCAGCAAATGTTCTTTTCTGAACTATTCCTTTAAACTGTTCACTTTATGGTGTGAGTTGGTTCTTGTAAAGAGTAAATCCATGTTTGAACACCCAAATTTTTCTTCAAATCGTTCAATCCTAAAAAAGTCTTTTTTTTTCCCTCCTGTGCAGATACACAAACTATAGTAAAGCTAAACATAACTGAAAAAAACAACAACAACAACAGCTAAATACATTGAGATTAAGGAGGCAATATATTTTTAAATATGTACAAATTATACCATTTCTAGCAGAGCTATGCTGATATTTAGCAGTGCTTACTTTGCATAAAAACAAACAGGATCTCAAATAGGGTGACATTCAACTTAATTTACAAACATTTTACACTAATACAACCAATAAAGCTAAAAACAACCTCATTTATAAATCAGAAGCATATGAAGTGCAAAATGAATTCGCTAGACTATAGAACTGCATGCACAAACAATGCAACTCAGCATATCTCACAGATGCATGCTGGAAACTAGAAAAGCTATGTACACTAGTACTGTCGCTACTTTTAGTTAGCATTCAAAAGCCAACATATAGTCTACTTAATCATACTTTATATTTTGGATATAGCGACAGATGTGTAGATTGTGTTCATGTCAGAAGACTTCTTTCGGTTTTTCCGATGCTGTGCATTTGTTATGTGTTTTGTTAATTACCTTGTGTGGCTATGTAGTGCCTTGGTCTGTGGTAGCCCTGGGAAACAGAAAGAAAAAGGAAGATGAAAATTATTCAAATGAAACTCATTTTTATACCTGCACAAACCGCATGCAACAATGAATTCGCTTAAAGTAAACTTTGTTTGAATCCGATTCAGCACTCAATGAGACATTGTAATTTCACCTTTCTGACGCCTTGGGTTCATTAGCATTTTAACCACTGTGAAACAAATTGGTGACCAATGTAGCCTTGCACATGTCAGGCTTTAAAGCACCGCTGCGGTTTACGACCGGGTCTGTGGTATGACGGAGTCCGTAATTGTTTTATTATCCGGAATGAGATTGGGTGGCCTGATTATAGCTGCTGCAGGGAGAAAAGCCTCGCGCTGAAGCATATCCACACGTGTTTACTTCCCATTTTGTAATGATCACAATCATATCGACTGTGTCATTATGGTGTTTAGATCAAGTTAGTGGATTTGGAGCAGCTAAGGAAGCACTTTCATTTGAGCTGTCGCTCGCTGAGGACATGGAGCATTTGCTAGAATAATTTGCAGAAACTCAGCGCAGAAATCCCCTGTATCCTTCATTCGTTTTAAGCAAAGCTCTTAGGAGCATAGCACATAAATGTTGCATTAATCTATTAAGCCCTTCTTTGACAGCAAAGACTGAAGTTGTTCTGACATTTTAAGGTGGTTTCACAATACACAGACTTTAAAGGTCATGAAGGTAACACTTTATTTTAAGGACCAGTTCTCACCATTAACTAGTTGCTTATTAGCATGCATATTACTAGCATATTGTCTGTATATTAGTACTTATAAAGCACATATTACTGCCTTATTCTGCATGACCATATTTTAGATCCCTTAATCCTACCCCATACCTAAACATAACAACTACCTAACTTACTATTAATAAGCAGCAAATTAGGAGTTTGTTCAGGGAAAACTCTCTATTCTAAAGTGTTACTGTCATAAATACTATGTTCAAACTTTCAGATCATTATTTCATTATCAGCATGCGAAGCTTGTTTGATGTTTTAGTTAACATGAAGTAAGGAAAATATACACTGCCATTCTAAAATGTAGGGTTCGTCTTTTAAAAGAAGTCACTTATGCCCACCAAGGCTGCATTTATTTGATTAGAAATGTAATAAATAGAGTAAAATAGTGAAATATTTTTACAATAAAAAAACTGTTTGAATATATTTTAAAATGTAATTTATTCCTGCAATGCAAAGCTGAATTTTCAGTATCATTACTCTAGTCTTTAGTGTCACATGATCCTTCAGAAATCATTCGAATATGATGAATTGGTGATCAGCAAAATTTCTTTTTATATTTCATTAATATCCATGTTTATCCATTTTGTGGGAACGTATATTTATTCGTATTATTATTATTTGCTGAATAGAATCTTTAAAAGAACGGCATTTATTTGACAGATTTTTTTTTTTTTGTAACTTTTCAAATTTCTTTACTGTCACTTTTTATTAATTCAATGTGTCCTTACCGAATAAAAGTAATTAATTATAATTTTTATAATACATTTGAATAAAACATTAATGAGTTAATAAATATCATATAAACAAAGTATATTCATGAATATAAATATTTTTTGAATTTATATTCGAATAATATTTGAATTTCTTAAAAAAAAGAAAGATGTGTATGTATGTATAATGTGTCATACTCACGTCTATATAGTTGGCGTTTATGTAGTCAGAGTGAGGGTCTCCTTCCAGCAGCTGCAGTCGGACACGAGTGTGATCATCTGTGGGGTCAAATATTCACAGAAGAGCCAGTCTAAAGTTACACATACACTTTAAAGGGGAGCTATATACGCATGAGCTGGCCAGGAAACAATTGCACTAGGGATGTAATGATTCACTCTACTCACGATTCGATTCGATTCACAATTTTGATTTCACGATTCGATTCGATATGGCTCACGGTTAATCGTTACATCCCTAAATTGCACTGTACTGTACTGTACTGTATGCACAATGTCATTTACCCATGCAGGAGTTTTGTGTGTGAAATTACTTTTGGACAGAGAAAAATCACAAACTCTACAAACATTTCTGCTAATTTGCAGTTGTAAAACCTCAGCATAACTTCCTGCATAAGGAAGACAATTTAAAGGGGTCATATGATGCTTTTTTAAAGATAATTATTTTGTGTATTTGGTGTAACAGAATATGTTGACATGCTTTAATGTTCAAAAAACACAATTTTTTTCAAATACTGTACATTATTGTAGGTCCTATATGTCCCGCCTTTCTCAAATGCTTCGTTTTCTACAAAGTCCCTCCTTCCGACAAGCGCAGTCTGCTCTGATTGGCCAGCTGACACAGTGCATTGTGATTGGCCGAACACCACAAGCACTCGTCGGAAATGTAACGCCCCTTACCATAATCGCGAGCGTCAGCTTTCAAAATAAATGTAAAGACAGTAAATAATGTCATTAGTTTTAACATCAGTTCAAGCCCGAAAGGGGAACAGACACAGTAATGATGCAGTACACAAGCCGCGGTTAAGACAGCTGACTCTACTGTGATGTGATGCTGTCTCTCTCTCTCTCTCACACACACACACACACATGCGCACGCGCGCGCACACACACACACACACACAAACGATGCGCAAAACTCCGCATTTGAACAGTCAATAGCAAATACTTAAACTAGTAACAAAACATACTTACAGTCGCTGATTCAGAAGCGCCAGATTGTCATAGCAAAGTCAGAATTACCTCCTCTCCTAGGTTCATGAAACGGTCGTCCATAAAATGCATTGCTGTTCTGTTGTAAGTGATCTTAAAGATTCCTAAATGCATCTACTTTCGGAAGGCCAAATAAAGTGCTTTTGCTTTCGCCTAGAAACACACAGCGTCTCTCTGACATGGCTGCTTCAACACTAACTGCGGTTACTGAAACCACGCCTTCTTTCTTTGCGTGCACATTTGGGCGCATTATGCAAATATTCGCACATAGTGAGGTAGATATGTGGGGGCGTGTTAGAACGAGCTGTTTTAGGGGGGTGTGGCAGAGTCTTAACTTTGATAAAGAATATCTCTTTGGTTTTGAGACTTTAGTCTTTGCAACTTCAGGGATCTTATCTATTCACGAACAGCTTGTAACACTCCAAAGAGAAAGGAAAACTTGAAATCGCATCATATGACCCCTTTAATTTTTTTTTAAATATCTATAATGATGGGGAACAGTTTTTAAAAAGGTTTTTGTTTCTAAGCAACTCAAGTCCGGGTGCCCCAAGTTCAGCATTGCACTCTGGGAATTGAAAATAAGAATGAGACCATTTTCCCATCCAACGAAGTGGATGTACAGTTGGCCAATGATGTAATTGATGTAATTACTCCAGCACCACCAATCTTCATCTCTCCTTTGCTATAAACACTTGACCTGCTAATGTTTAGCACGTGTGCTGTGTCTTTCCACCCTTGAAAGGTGAAGCTGCATGTCTTGGCAATTATGACAACACTTCTGGAAAAGGGGAAGAGGGTGGAAACGGAAAGAGAGGAGGGGTAGAGGAAAGGTCTGACACTAGCTCCGCAAACCCGTGTGGCGTTCTGCTTTGATCACATGGAGAATGCAAATGCGCTGTTGAGGCATGTCGACTCCAAGCCAGCGGATGTTCTCTGATGGCAGGCAGCTCCGCAGAATCCCTCCTGATTTCTCTCCGTCTTTCCGCTTTTTCGTTCCGAGGAGAAGCAGGTCCATGTCTCGAGCTGTAAGTGGGTCGTGAAGGTTGTTTACTTTCAGACAGCCCCTCCTTCCTGTCCAAACCTGCTGCGTTTCTTATTCTGCCTGCTCAAAATTCACCAACTTATATATTTTTTTAACTTCAGACTTTATTTGCTCCTTCTCTCTCGCTCGCCTCACAAACATCAGCTGTCTCTCACCGGTGCTTTGGTCTGTCTGCTGACCTCTCTGCTCCCAGAAAGGGAATATGCGTGAGGGAAGCAGAAAAGAGGGAAATGGAGGGATGTGGAAAGAGAACGAGAGAAAGAGACGGGGCTAATTAGACGCCACTGAGTCAGTTGTCATAACAGCAAGTGCTCGGCAGGGATCTTCTCCGCAGTGAGGGGCCAGACACAAAGCTCTAATTGGGAGAGAATGACCCGACTACAGAAGAGTGCCGTGATGCATGGGTACAGCAGTTCTGAGTCAGCCTGCAAAACTATTCAGATGTCTGGATTATCACCTGTTTAGACATGAGTATGAGAGACGGTACAGTGACATGATGATGAGTAGGGTTTGCCTCAAAGTTGTCTTAATTCTGCACTGCTTGCACCACAGAAATGAGTCAGTGATTCCTCACGTCATGCAGTTAAATGAGCATCGTTGTGCCATTGCTTTTCTAAGGGGTTAGAGTTACTTTTACACTGCTTTTTTTAACTGGGGACCTGAGCCATATCTAGCTGCTCTTTTGAATTGGGCCAGTAAGCAATGATCCAGAACACTCTAACAACTGCATGGCTACATCCTAGAAATCACTCAGAACACCTAAGCAAACATTTAGCAACACCCTAGCAACCACCCAGAACACCCAATTAAATCTCAGCAACGTCCTTGTGACCACACACAACACTGTAACAACCCCATAGCAACGTCCTAGAAACCACCCAGAACACCCTGGAAACCTAATTGCAACGTCCTCAGCAACCACCAAGGACAACACAGCAACCCCATATCAACACCCACACCCCAGAACACAGTAATAACTGCATAGCAACACCCTAGCAGCCCCATATACCAACTGCATAGCAACACCCTAGCAACCCCATATCAACACCAACACCCCAGAACACAGTAAAAAATGCACAACAACACCCTAGCAACCCCATATCAACACCAACACCCCAGAACACAGTAAAAAATGCACAACAACACCCTAGCAACCCCATATCAACACCCACACCCCAGAACACAGTAATAACTGCATAGCAACACCCTAGCAGCCCCATATCAACACCCATACCCCAGAACACAGTAATAACTGCATAGCAACATCCTAGCAACCCCATATCAACACCCACACCCCAGAACACAGTAACAACTGCATAGCAACACCCTAGCAACCCCATATCAACACCCCCACCCCAAAACACCCTAGCAACTGCATAGCAGCCCCATATCAACACCCACACCCCAAAACACAGTAACTGCATAGCAACACCCTAGCAACCCCATATCAACACCCACACCCCAGAACACCCTAGCAACTGCATAGCAACACCCATATCAACACCCACCATGTAGAACATCCTAGAAACTGCATAGCAACCCCCTAGCAACCCCATATCAACACCCACACCCCAGAACACAGTAATAACTGCATAGCAACACCCTAGCAACTCCATATCAACACCCACACCCCAGAACACCCTAGCAACTGGATAGCAACACCCATATCAACACCCACAACCCAGAACACCCTAGCAGCTGCATAGCAACACCCTAGCAACCCCATATCAATGACCACAACTCAGAAAATCCTAGCAACTGCATTGCAACACCCTAGAAATCATCCAGAACAATCTAGTGACCGTCTAACAACATCCTAGCAACCATCCAGAACACCCCTGAAAACCGCATGGCAACACATTAGTACCCACCTAGAACACTCTAGCAACCACATAACAATGCCCTAGGACCCATCCACAACAGTATTGCGGTGTCAAGTTTTGCACAGGCAGACACTATTCATGAAAAATCTATTTTAATCACATTTTTAAAAACCTATTTATCTCATTATGGTTGATGACCAGTATGACTGCAGCTTTTCAACAAAAATATTTTGTTTGTACACAATAGTTCCAATATATTTTACATTATTCAAATGAAATCAGGCACTGAAACATTTTAATGTACAGCAGACAAGTGAGAAGAGAATATACTGTGTGAATTGAAAAACAAAGTTCTAAAATTACAGTGGCCACCTGAAAATGAATGAAGGACAAAGAAATTTAATTATATAGAAGAAGCATCTGCAAACAAATTCTGCACAAGCTTTTCTCCAAACTAACTTCACTTTTCTGAACCATTTTTGCAATGACTTTCAAGGTCAGTCAAATATTTTAGTGCCATGAAATTCATTCATTTTTAAGCTTATCACAGTTGACAAATACTTTCTAAGGCCACTGCATCTGTTATCGGCCTAATCATACTGATGCATTCATTAAACAAACAAACAAAAAAACACATGCAGCTTTAGGCTAAAATCTCAGACATAGTGGATCTCAGGTGCAGTCGTAACATTAAAAATCCTCTCTCATTTTGTATCTCATCCTAAAGGTAAAAACAAAAAGAACAACTTGGTACTTTTGTCTGTTTAAAAGTACCGCCTTCAAAATGTCAGCAGTCTCTTAATCAGCGCTCTTAAGCCCGTGTCCTCGCCGCTGCTCTTCTATAGAACCTCAGTGTGTTGTCAGCTGGCCCCAGTGCTTTATACACCTAAACAGCCTATTAAATCCCTGCTTGGCAGAAAAGAGTTTCCAGTGTCAAATGGGCCGAGTGCTGTCGCACACACCTCGTAGCATGAGAGTGAGGTACTCTAATCCAGTTTAATCCATTTCCATCCGCTCTGGGATAAGACGCTTTGCTCATGAAGTATACCTGAGAGGGGTTTAGAAAGAAGCAGAAGTGTTTATGCGAACGCATGAGCTTTGAGAGCTTGGTGTTAGGACAAATGTCATCCTAATCCGAAAGGGATTCATTTCGGAAGGTTAATTTGCACCAACGGCAATAAAAAGGATCTATTTTGTAACGTATGCAAGGATTCTTATTAAAGAAATTAATTTCCATCTGTTATTCGCACCATTTTGTAAGGAAGTGATCCTATTAGTTTATATAACTAGCTAAAGGATACAAACATCACTCTTTAATATCTCAATTTGTTTCTTATAGGCAGTAAAGAGATTAAATGGAGGTAAAATGGAGACTTTTGCTGGCCTTTACCATTTCTTGAATGTTTCTACTTAGAAGTCACACAAAAGCTGTGCTTCTGGAATCAAAAATGGAATTTCAATATAAACATTTCTCATCCAAATTAAAATGTTGATTCTTGAATAAAGCATAACAGAGTTTTCTGAGCTATGACAGAGCAACCTCTAAATATTGATGATGTCTAAATCGACTAATCATTTAAATGTAAATGAGGTATGAATCTGACTAGGTATTTATTCTTGGTTAAGAGCATTAATCGATGACTATTAACAAACAAACAAAAGCGAGAGTGTAATACACTACACAGCTCATGTGAATGCTAATACTCCAGCTTTGGTCAATACATCAGAGGAGGATTTTTTCCGCAAAGACTTCAAGGGAACCTGACGATTCTGGCAGCGCTACGTGAAGGGAATAAATGTCAGAATTTGAGGAGCTCAGAGAGAAGAAATGAGAAGGTGTCTTCATCCAGAAACACAGATCCACGCATGCAGAGCACTTAAAAGACCAAGACACGCTTTCCTCTGTGTTTAGACTAATGAAAATTAACAACCTGGACATTTATTATTCAGCAGGTGCCTTACCTTGAATATTTTAACCTCAGATCCACAAAGGCATTGATACTAACAGGTTAAAATGAGTGACAGTTTGGATAATGAGCCAATGTGTGTTGGTTATCCGTTGGGGGTTTCATCCCTCTTCATGGGATGATTGTGTGATGTTGGTGTTCGTAAATCAGAAATGTTGCCTTGGCAAACTTAAAGCTGAAGTACTAAAATTACTAATACCAAAACGGAAATAAAAAAATCAATTAAAGCTATATATATATATATATATATATATATATATATATATACAGTGGGTACGGAAAGTATTCAGACCCCCTTCAATTTTTCACTCTTTGTTATATTGCAGCCATTTGCTAA